GCTCGATTTATATTCAGAGCCGGCAAAAATCAGTTTGGAGAACGAACTTGGGGAAGAGAAGACTTGTACGCTAATATGGTGTTCAGAGCCAGACGATACTTGCCAACATATAGTATACTGATTATTAGAATTTAGAACCAAGACTACTTGACGAATATATGTGACCCTTCCTTCACCATGAATTAAACCTGCTAAGAAATCACTTACATCTACTGACGGATGATTTTACTCGCTGATCTACGCAAGACGTGGTCAGTAATTTAATTTAAGTTGAAAGAGACAAGTTCTGTCTCATGACAAACTTCAGGACGTCTATGTACTCAATGCAATACACTCTTCTTGCAGTGATTTCCAACAGGCATAGCGTTGCGGAATCGCGGGCCGGTCTGTGTGATCGGGCTTTATTCAAACTGGAGCTCCGGCACAGTCACAAGAAAAGAGAAGTTTCGCTCTGCGCACGAAATTCCACGTATAGCAGAAGACATGCAGTCTTCAAGCATTATCTTCAGAATATATTTAATATTGGAAAAGATCGTGATTACTGTTTGCTGCTTTTTCCAGACAGTACTAGACAGGTAGTTCAAATGCTTGCAATGACTTCACAGGGTATTTTCTCATTTTTCAGGTGTTGCTGGTTTCTTTGTGAAACATGTGAAGACAGGAAAGTGTATCTATGACACAGCACGAATACAGTCAGACGGCTCGACCTGGGGCAGCGTATCTTTTCTTGAACTCTCCAACAACTGTCTGGATCCAGCTGCTCAGTTTCGGTTTCGTGATAATGGCGGCATGTTGAATTTGAAAAGACAAGGATGTCTTGCGGCTTATGCTAAAATTGGTTCTGGTTTTGGTCTTGATATGTTTTATCTTTACGTTCCCATTGCATCACTAGGATTAGATGTTTCCGCCTGTGCGCAACATTCTGGGAGAAAAATCTATCGTCGTATAACTCAGACCTCTTGGGGAGGTTTATCTGTATATTATGAAGGTTATCGCAAGAGCTCATTTCAGAACTGGTGTGCAGTCAATAAAACACACGCCTTGCTCGCTCAAAATTACGGAATTGATCCCTACATTGGATTGACAACAGATTGTAATGACACTGAGGATAAACTTTTCAACTTTGGTAAGTTTTTGCCACAACACTATATATAGTAAATATTCAGTTACACAATTATACCATACTTCCGTGGATGGCCACGCATATAATATTGACAATTAAAAAATATATACTGTATAGCAACTCACCGCTACAATCTGATTGGCTGAGCTACTCAGCGTATATAGGGTGAGTACGTAGTGAAAACAGGCGATAATACAGAATAATACGGTAATAGTTTGTGATGAGATTTAAAAAAAGTTTGTGTATTTTTATTATTATGACGCTCTGGCTATATTATCAGTCCCTCTGGTCATATGTAGATATATTAGTTCACATACGACACCAGCTCATGGCCGAACTAGACAAGACATATTAGGTCTCTTGCCTTAAAGAAATTTAAAAATAGATTTATTCATACATGCTTTCACTACTTGTCACGATAACCATGCAAAGTTTTGCTATCAATTTGTCTCACCTGGAATATCTCCAAGTTACTTTCAATTATTGATTGTTGACTTTGTTGTTGTTTTTCGCTACTCTGTCTCGGGCTCAGATAAAATTATATTTTTAATTCAAAAAATCTTTGCATTTCGACTGTTATTTTCAAGGTTCAGTGACATGTTATGGAAATACGACAGAGAATGTCACTTGTTCTAAAGATCAGTTCATGTTGGTCAAGACTGCATCTTACCGTGGATTGTCTGACTCAAAGACATGTGGTTTGAGTGATGATTATAGTTGTACAGTTGATGTAACATGTCTGGTTAAGAAACAATGTGATGGTCAACATGAGTGTAAAATAACTGTGAATGAAACCTTGTTCTCTGATGATCTGTGTCCTGGATTGAAAAAATATCTTTACTTTGAATATCAATGTATTGATACTGTGAAATCTTATAGCGATGTTTGTGGTATGTATTATGTATTATGTACTACAAATGAAAGAAAATACTAAAGGTTTAGAAAGTGCATGTTAGTGATCCGTAGTAAAATTAAGAGTTGACTTTTGTCTTTTAGTTTTTGGCGCGTTTTTATCGAATTCATCGTTGCCAAACGAAGGTGTTGTGAATGTTATTACGGACAGCGGGGACAAAAGTGTTTGTGCAGGAAGTTTAAATAACAAAGCCAAGAATGTTGTTTGCATTCAAATGGGATACAAAAGAGCAGACTCCGTTGTTAATACGCCTGTCCTATCAACTACCAAAGATGAAATATTCTCTGGAATTATAAACTGTACTAATGTCCTCGAGGATTTACGTCAATGTTTCATCACAACTTCCACCTCAAGTTGTTGTGAGTTGTTATTCATAAAATGTAAGTTTTGAAGCGAGAGAATATTATAAGGAAATACACATAATAAATAAAATCATCATTCTCTGGAGCTGTAAATTTTAATCATTAAGACGACGATTTATCTCAATGTTTGGTCTTATATTCCGCCTTAAGTTTCTCTCAGTTGTCATTCATGAAATGTAAGTCTTGAAAGATTATGATAACCTGCGAGAATATATGGAAAATAAGAATAAGAAAGAGGATGATACGCCCATCGTAGAAAAACGAGGACTTAACAGGTTATCTTCGTATTTCAGGTCATATTTGCAACAATCCTTTGTTAGAAGATGAAGAAAGAATTCCAGATTCGTCATTCACTGCCTCAGTTTCTTCAGAAGGTCACAGAGCTTCTGATGCAAGAATATCTAGTGGTAGTTCTTGGTGTGCTTCTGTCTCAGTTGATAAACATTATCTTCAGGTCGACTTAGAAAGACTTTATGTGATACGGACTGTTGCAACATTTGGTGACAGGCGGAGTAGTAGTGCAAAATGGGTGAAGACTTTTATCTTAAATTACACTGTTGATTCATCAAAGTGGGAACAAGAGAAAAATGGAAATAAAAAGGTAAATCCTGCATTTCATGCTTGTAGTACATCGGATAGTGACTACATGTGATATTTCACTCTACGGACCGATCAGTAACTGGATGTTCAAATCATATTTTTAATATATCATTCATTTTTGTTACTATCACATATTGGCCGCATGTGGAATTAATGTGAATCTGGTGCACAAAACAGTATGAACTAAAATAGTAATAATGATAATGTATAATTAGACACATGATATTTATAACACCTTAAGGCTAATTTCCACTCCGGAAAACGAGCAGCGGATCGGATTTTTTTCCGAGCTGGTCCAATCCATGAAGTGATTTCGGTTCGGATCAAAAAAAGTTAAAACTATTTGAACTTTTTTTATCCGTTCTCGGACGCTTTCGGACCAATATAAGCCAAAAATTTCAGCAGACGGCGCACGCGCGGATTATCTTTCGTTCCGATCCGATCCGCTGCTCGTTTTCCGGAGTGGAAATTAGCCTTTATAGTCCTGATTATCTTTAGATATTTCAAGGCAACAAGAATTCTTACAATGACGCAGCTATAAGAAGTTTAAATGTCATAGCAAGAGCTTTACGGTTTATACCATTATCATATGAAGTTCAACCTTGTATGAGAATTGAGATTTGTGGTGACAGTAAGTTATGAACGTTTGTAAACTTAGTTATGAGATTTTTTGTGAGCAAAAAATGCTTTACAATGTGATGATATTTTTCTCTCAAGCTTTATATCCAGACCGACCTAGAAACATCACCGTTCCTAACATCAAGTCACGAAGTGTTGAAATATCGTGGATTGATCCTGAGAATCAAGGATTTACCAGCGTATCAAGATTTTGGATTAAAATCAGGAGGAACAACGCTCTCATTCTGAACGTCAAAATAGGAAAAATGAATAAACATAAAGTTAATAATCTCACTCCATTCACAAGTTACGAAATATTCATAGCAGCCGGAAACAAGGATGGTTTTGGTGAAGAGAATAAAATCTCGTTTTCAACACGCCAGGACGGTAAGAGAGAATTAAACACTCCGATAGCTTTTGTTTTACCTCGTTTGCACTCCGCTTACCTATAGACACTGAATTCTTCAGAACGCGCGTGAAAGTACCTTTTCAGCTTCACCGCATCCAAAGAAAACAAAATTAGCACACTATATTTAGGTGCAGTACATGCAGTTGACTTAGTTGTTTCGCGAAAGCTAGCATTTCTTGGAGAGAAGTGCGTACGCCATGAGTTAATTTGATGTATTTTCACTTCGTCTCACCTGTAATGTATGTTCAGCTCCAGAAGGTCCTCCACTGAACGTCAAAGTCACTGCAGAAAGTTCATCCACATTATCAGTCACGTGGGATCCTCCTGAAGAAGAGAAAAGAAATGGCGTGATCGTCAATTATACTGTGTGTATCTCACATGAAGAAACTAAACCTTGCTTTAAAGAACATACTACAGAGAAGATGATGTTAGTCATCGACAGTTTGAATGCATCTACCAAATATTATGTTCGTGTTCTTGCAAGAACTAAAGTTGGTCGAGGAAACTACAGTAAAAGTCAGGGAATATTTACAAATGGAGGTAGGGCCTGTATTTCAAAGTTTAGTTGTCAGATTGACATCACAAACTAAATACTAACATTCAAGTTCATATCATAACATTGATGTTATTTATTTTACAGAACGAACAGAGATGGCCACAAATAGAACAGAAACTACATTAACTTTCTCGTTACAAATCCCTTCTGAAAATTTTACGTAAGTACCAAACGTTCCTGAAAAAATGTTACAGAGAATTGCATGGAAGAAATCATTTGGATGACTAACTTCAGACATTGTTTTTTTGCACTTAACATACAGAATTTTTGTAGGTATTTTTACGTCGTTGCTTTGAAACTGAGAAAAAGCAGTGACAAGCTTCCATCACCCAGCAGTTACGATAACAATGAACTAGTGACATACAAAGAAGCTAACACGTCAGCTGAACCAAAACCTTATATTGCCACCGTCATAACAAGCAGAGATAAAACCATGTTTATACTTGGTGATGGTGGAAATACAAGTTTTCAAACAACACGAAGACGAAGATCAACAACAAATGATTATTATAATGGACCACTGGAGTCTGGAGCAAGTTACAGTATTTTTCAAAGGATCTTTCTTGATGACAAGGTATTGCTGGAAATTAGTGCTAAAAGGCTTTTAATATCTTATAGCTTGTGAAAACAAAAAGGATTAGGATTTTCATCCATGTTAACCGTATTTAGAGTACATGCATCCAACTCCAGCCGGTCAGATTTTTAGTCTTGAACTAGATTTTTGGAACGACTGCTGACCTCGATCTTTTACTTCAGGGTGAATTTTACTCCACAGATTGGAGCCCAACATCAACAACTGTCGAAAAGAAAGAAACGCTAGCGCCATGTCCAACGCTAGGCAAAAACACAGGTAAATACCTAAATAATTGCCATATATTGACTACCGATTCCATTGAGATAAAGCACAACAGGTTTAATGTTTCCCTGTTTTAAATTTCTTCAAAATAACTTCAATAAAGGAAATTCTCTGTAACGATTTTCTGTAACGTATATATGTCACGTCCTAGTCGACAAAAAAAAAGATCGATCAGAAATCACAGGACACGACAACAAGTTCTAGAAAGTATATTTGTCAACTAAATTAATTTTCAAACACGAGTCGTACGATTTTGATCTAAAAAACGCTGAATTTCGAACAAAAGAGGATAGTTTTTATGTTGATACATTATTCAACAGACTGTGTCGTTTTAATTCATTCATCTTTAGATGCAAAAGAAGATTGGGATCTTGTAGGAATTATAGTATTAGTAATTCTCCTGGTCATTTCACTCATCTTTAATGCTTATTTGGTTTATCAACTTCGTCTCAAATCGTCAAGCACCAAAGCGAATTCGGGAAAGAAGACCACTGACAATTCCAAAGATATTTATGAAAATCCTAACAAAGATGACGTTAACAATTATGAACAAGTGAAAGATGAACAGTCGACGTATACAGCTCTTAAAAGAACTGGGAAGGAAGAAAATGATCATGTTTATAGTCATCTAAATCAAAGATCTCAACACTACGAAAACAAGAAGGAAACTGGATTATAAAGACGCTCTTTCACGGAACATTGACAATAAACTTAAGACTAGGATTTCTGTCTGGATAATGAAAAGGGGATGTTCAGATACTGTCAAAAATCTGGCTAAAATAGACCATTTGTTGACCCAGTGTTGAACGGATTTATTTGAGTACTTTTATCTGACAGTGTGTGCTCCTGGAACTGGTGCCAATAGAGAAAAACTGTTAACATGTATCGGGCTATTTAATTAAAAGGTTTCAAATGAATATTGAATATAGCTATACTTAGTTAGCATTTAGTAAATAACAAAAAACGATATTTTTCGGTAAAGTGAGTGACGACAGTCAATAAGAAATGCTATAACAATAATATAATATAGACAATGCTAAACCAAGCGCTAGCTAGCATACCGGAAGACAAAGCTCAGAAATTTACAGTTTCGACTCAGTTGAATAATATTAACATTTGGGGATTTTTTCCACCGTATGACAGCGAGATCGTAGCGTACATTATTGTTTCTGGGCACTCAACTATAGCACTAATGAATTTGAAGCAAAGAAATACGCTGCATTTCGTGACAATTAAAGAGGAAAACAGACCTTAGAAGTACAGTTTCCTTGGAAATCTAAATATCGTCCATAACATTAGCGATTGTTGGCTTATATTTCATGTCCTAAATCAACACATCGACTGTTATTCATAATATATCCATGTCATTCAAATTGCTTTTGAAAAATATAACAGAATTGCATGGTGTAACTCAGCAGGAATTAGTTCAAGAATGTCAGAACTTTCGTTTGACCTTTTGAATTATGAAAGCAGCATTCAGACTTCATGCTGAGTTTTTATGAATATTTATCTTAGTCAAATAGAATTAATCTCCTCTTCCGTCTTCGCCATTCATAAAGACGTTTCCTTGCACAACTAAATCATGTAATATATCGAAATCTTTATGAAATGCCGCCTCAATTAATTGATAAGATGTTATTCAAGTGTTGCAAATGGGAGTTGGCTGCGATTATTGTTATCCTCGTGTATCTTCAGGGTAAGTATAAGCTGTATAACATCATTTAAAGCAACCAGGAACTATTTGAGAATGGACTATAGGTATTGTCACGATTGAATTTGTGTTTCACAAGGAAGCCTTTAAAGAGTTCTTTATATCCTCGATTTATATTCAGAGCCGGCAAAAATCAGTTTGGGGAACGAACTTGGGGAAGAGAAGACTTCACCGCTAATATGGTTCGTCTTGACTGTATATGTTTGGTAGCCTACATGTGTAACAAGTGTTCAGAGCCAGACAATATTTGCCAACATATAGAATACTGATTATTAGATTGACTATGGCTACCTGACGAATATATGTGACCCTTCTTTCGCCATGAATTAAACCTGCTGAGACATCACTTACGTCTACTGACGGATGATTTTACTGGCTGATCTACGCAAGATCTGCTCAGTAACTTACTTCTAACTTCATGACGTCTATAATACTAGCGATCCGCAAACACTGCATGCATGCATGGTGCACTTAACACACAATATATTATATCTACTAGCAGTGATTTTTTAAGGACATTGCGATCTCGAATTGGGTCCTGTCTGTGTGGGCTTTACATGAATGCTAGCTCACATTAATCACACGCAAAGAGCAATTTTGCTTCGAGCGCGAAATTTCCTCTAGTAGAGAACAACTTTAAAGGTTGTTAGAGATATTCTCAATACGCCATATTCGGGATATTTTTATTTAATAATCAGAAAATATTGTTTGCCGTTTTGGCAGTACCAGGCAGGTCAAATGCTTGCATTGGCCCGATTTATATAATTATACAAGAGGCGGATAATCCAACTGAACTAGAAAACGAACTATCTTTCGCTTGCCCAAGTTCTTCTAGATGGATGATCCCGTCTCTAGAATAAATCGCGGTATTTTGTAATTTTCCAGGTGTTGCTGGTTTCTTTGTGAAACATGTGAAGACAGGAAAGTGTATCAATGACACAGCACGAATACAGTCACAAGGCTCGAGCTGGGGCAGCGTATCTTTTCTTGAACTCTCCAACAACTGTCTGGATCCAGCTGCTCAGTTTCGGTTTCGTGATAATGGCGCCATGTTGAATTTGAAAAGACAAGGATGTCTTGCTATATTTGATAAGGATCATCAAGATGAAATGTTTTACGTCTACGTTCCTGCTACCCCGGAAACTATAGAAACATCTGCCTGTGCTGACAAACGGGTTATAAAACAAACCTCTTGGGGGGGTTTATCTGGACTTAACGATGATTCTGCAAGCAGGTGTGCAGACCCTGATGGATACATAAAAACAATCGCAAGCTGTGTAGACGGGGAAAATAAACGCTTTATTTTTGGTACGTTTCTGTGCGATCTTTCTGCCCGCCAGCATTGCAATTGTCTGAGACGGATTTAATTTCGATAATAGTCAAAGGCCGCGGAGGATTGTTAACTGGGGGGGGGGGAGGTGTGGTCAAATATTCATGTTAAGCCTGGTTTCCATATGACACCGACCTGTCGCCGACTCACTGTGTGTAATAATCCAAGGAGAAAATGATTTCAGAAAGGCAAAATATTTCACTCTTCAATAATCACCGTCAATAATAATTTGCCGACGTCGGCGTTATATGGAAACCAGGCTTTGGCAGATCGTGAAAAAGATCAATTTCAAAATATACTAATAAGTCATAATGCTGAAGGACGAATAAATATAGAGATTACTTCCTGGTTGGCGAGTGTGTGCAATTTTTATGCACGAGTTGTGAAGGATTCCAATACGAACAGGTGTAGCGAACGAGTGAGTTTGCGATATTTCACATCGAGTGGATAATAAAAATCGTACAAATGAGCCAAGCATGAAGTAATTTGTTTATAAAATGTGTATACAGATCAATTTGACAACGACACGCTTTTAATATACAAAAACACAGCGAGCAACAATAATCGAAATTTTATGCATCAAAATATATTTATTACCGTTCAGTTTCTTTGTAATCTTGTTCAGTAGAAGTTAAATATTCTTTCCGAAAGATTTTATATTGTGCTGAATGTAATATCCTATATTTTGACGCCATACAAATTAAAATACAATTTGAAATATCTTTTTATCATTCTGCTGTGCATAAATCTCTATACACATAATAAATGAATATATGCCCCCATCCATAACGATCTTCCGTGGCCGCAGTAGTTGCTAAAGAATATAAGAAGCGAATTTCAAATTTGGAAGATCACACACACTCCCTGCATCAATTTTTATTATCAAGGTTCAGTGACATGTTATGGAAATACGACAGAGAATGTCACTTGTTCTAAAGATCAGTTCATGGTAGTCAAGACTGCATCTTACCGTGGATTGTCTTACTCAAAGACATGTGGTTTGAGTGATGATTATAGTTGTACAGTTGATGTAACATGTCTTGTTAAGAAACAATGTGATGGTCAACATGAGTGTAAAATAACTGTGAATGAAACCTTGTTCTCTGATGATCTGTGTCCTGGATTGAAAAAATATCTTTACTTTGAATATCAATGTATTGATACTGTGAAATCTTATAGCGATGTTTGTGGTATGTATTGTACTACAAATGAAAGAAAATAAGAAAATACTAAAGCTTTAGAAGGTGCATGGTAGTGATCCGTAGTAAAATTAAGAGTTGACTTTTGTCTTTTAGTTTTTGGCGCGTTTTTATCGAATTCGTCTTTGCCAAACGAAGGTGTTGTGAAAGTTATTACCGACAGCGGAGACAAAAGTGTTTGTGCAGGAGGCTTGAATAACAAAGCCAAGAATGTTGTTTGCATTCAAATGGGATACAAAAGAGCAGACTCTGTTGCTAATACGCCTGTCCAATCAACTACCAAATATAAAATATTCTCTGGAATTATAGACTGTAATAACGACCACAAAGATTTACGTCAATGTTTGATCACAACTTCCAAATCAAGTTGTTCTGAGTTGTCATTCATAAAATGTAAGTTTTGAAAGGAGAATGTATGAACAATAAGTCCAAGAATTAGAAGGAAATTACCATTGTAAAAAATTCGAGGACTTCACAAATGATCTTCGTATTTCAGGTCATATTTGCGACAAGCCTCTGTTGGAAGACAAAGAAAGATTTCCAGATTCGTCATTCACTGCCTCCGTTTCTTCAGAAGGTCACAGAGCTTCTGATGCAAGGATATCTAGTGGCAGTTCTTGGTGTGCTTCTGTCTCAGATGGCAAACATTATCTTCAAGTCAACTTAGGAAGACTTTATGTGTTATATAATGTGACAACGTTTGGTGACAGTACCAGTGCCAAATGGGTGAAGAATTACAACTTAAATTACACTGTCGATTCAGAGAATTGGAAACAAGTTCAGACTGGAAATCACAAGGTAATTGATATGTGACACCCTATTTTACACGTTGATATATAAATATATATATATATATATATATATGTATATATGTAAGGTGTATTTGTTCTTCTGCACAAGTATAACCAAGCAGAAAATTCTACTTGACCGCGGTGGGAATCGAACCCGCGACCTTCGCATTTCTAGAACGATGCTCTACCGTCTAAGCTACAAGGCCAAGTTGGGAACGACTGTGATTTTACTTAAGTTGTTATTGACAATGCGGAGTTTCGTCCTTTTACATGTCGTTATGCAGTTACTTCTGCAAATGTTGATAATTTGTACTTTTGCTCTCAATTGAGCCATGTGTTCACTTGTGGATATATATGTAAGGTGAATTACACCTTACATATATATCCACAAGTGAACACATGGCTCAATTGAGAGCAAAAGTACATATATATATATATATATTAATATATATATAATATATATATATATATATATATAATATATAATATATATAAATATATAATATATATATATATATATATATATATATATATATATATATTTTTTTTTTTTTTTTCAAAGATATTTCAGGGAAACAAGAATGCTTTTAATGGTGCAGCCATAGGAAGTTTAAATGGCAAAACAACAAGAGCTTTACGGTTTATTCCATTGTCATATGAAGTTCAACCTTGTATGAGAATTGAGATCTGCGGTGACAGTAAGTTACGTTTATTTCTATCGACGTTTTGGTAAAGAGTTTGCAGTTGGTGATTAGAAGATCGAGTTATTCAATTACAAGTTTGATTTCCTTTCTCTCAAGCTTTATATCCAGACCAACCTAGAAACATCACCGTCTTTAACATTAAGTCACGAGGTGCTGAAATATCGTGGATTGATCCTGAGAATCAAGGATTTACCAGCGTATCAAGATTTTGGATTAAAATGAAGAAAGACAACTCACTTATTCTGAATATCAAAACAGGAAAAATCAATGAAAATAAAATAGACAAGCTCACTCCATACACAACATATGAAATATCTGTAGCTGCTGGAAACAACGATGGTTTCGGCGAAGAGAAAAGTATTATGTTTTCAACACGAGAGGAGGGTAAGAATGATGGATCCTTCACGCATTGTTTAAGATTACAAGAACTCTCGCAATAGAAATTTTAACTGACTGATATTCTTCAAAATAATCACGAATTGTTACCCTGTCTCATTTTGTTACATCCTTGAACCCATCCAAACAAAGAAAATTCAAAGAAACGTCTTACAGTTGCCATTTTGATATATTTAGCTCCAGAAGGTCCTCCACTGAACGTCACAGTCACTGCAGAAAGTTCATCCTCATTATCAGCCACGTGGGATCCTCCTGAAGAAGAGAAAAGAAATGGCGTGATCGTCAATTATACTGTGTGTATCTCACATGAAAAAACTAAACCTTGCTTTAAAGAACATACTACAGAGAAGATGATGTTAGTCATCGACAGTTTGAATGCATCAACCAAATATTTTGTTCGTGTTCTTGCAAGTACTAAAGTTGGTCGAGGAAACTACAGTAAAAGTCAGGGAATATTTACAAATGGAGGTAAGATCCGACGGAAGAGTAAACTTCACACAGTCGAAATTAAAATTTAATCTCAGATCGTCAACGAATTTACATATTTTCCTGCAGAAGGAACAAAGATGGTAACAAATAGAACAGAAACTACATTAACTTTCTCGTTACAAATTCCTTCAGAAAATTTTACGTAAGTTCAAAACCAGCGTTCCTAAAGCAATATTTCAGATAATTGCATGAAGAAATTATTTGGATGACCAACTGCAGACTTTGTCTCTTACTGAACAAACAAAATATGTTTTAGATATTTTTACGTCGTGGCTTTAAAACTGAGAAAACAAAGTGACAAACTTCCATCACCCAGCAGTTACGATAACAATGATCTAGTGACATACAAAGAAGCTAACACGTCAGCTGAACCAAAACCTTATATTGCCGCCGTCATAACAAGCAGAGATGAAAACATGTTTATACTTGGTGATGGTGGAAATACAAGTTTTCAAACAACACGAAGACGAAGATCAACAACAAATGATTATTATAATGGACCACTGGAGTCTGGAGCAAGTTACAGTATTTTTCAAAGGATTTTTCTCCATGACAAGGTATTGCTGGAAATTGATCTTAAATGAGGTTACCAAAACATATCGAAAAGGGAAACTTCTACAGATGTTAATGGTGTCTCAACTTAATATTTCACTCCAGGGTGAATTTTACTCCACGGATTGGAGCCCTGCTTCAACAACAGTTGCAACAAGCACTCCCACAACAAATACAAGTAAGTGCAAATACCCAAGACCTGTGTATAAACTGAAGTTATGTTGTCAAAACAGGTGATAGTGAAGTGAATGAATAATTGTTTTATGGTGAAAAAGGTATGTGCGGAAGGTTTGAATGAACTGCACCCCCTTTTTAAAAAGGCTAAACAATACAAGACGAGGTAAAATCGTCGGATTAACGTCAGGACTAAGAATATTTTTGTTTATGATCATGTAGAGAGTAAAAAAAGCGATAATATTCCAATGATTGCTGGTGTAGCGGCTGGTGGTTGTATTCTTCTTATCCTGGTTATAGTCGTGATCATTCTGTATAGAAGGTAATCATTTTTACGAAAGATTTAACCTGCAGGGGAACGAACTCTGTTCCCCAGTTCTAATCATTATTTACATCTATGTATCACGGCTCCTTTTCAATAGATTAGTTTCATAGAGTATTCGAGTGAAGAAATTGTATCATGTCTCGTAGGATAGCTCTAAAATGGATTATATAAGGCCCTTCAAAAACGTTTTGTTCCTCAACGTTGCAACTGTGCGCATTGCTGTTTTACGCTCGCTGCTGGAATGTCATCTTGTATTTCAGACGCGAGAGCAAGAAAGATTCAGAACCGTATTTTGAAATGGAAGAGAAACAAAAAGTTGCTCTACCTGCGATCAACGAAGCATATCTTGATTCTAACGACAGACATCTCGGTCCCAACAGCTCTACTGAAGTACAACCGAACCCCACCGTTGCAGATGAAGTAGATGCGGGTAATCCAGTTGAGGAGAAAAAGATAGATCCTTCAGATCTTGCTGCTGCTAATAAAAATATCTATGATAACCAAGAAGGTGGGTGATTTTAATGGTTGGTTACTGTGACGCCAAAGTCACAGGTTGCTCTCTCTCGTTACAGCAGGGGACACCCCACCCTAACCCTAGGACCCCAAAGGGGAAAGGTGGGGGCACCTTTCTAAGACAAAAGTTATCCCTCAAACGAGGCAACCAGTTAGCGCTTAATGACAGAATATTTTATTTCTTTGAATCCTCGTTAACTCAAATGTATATTTTCCCAGCTGTTGTTGCGAGGATTCATAATCCTGTTCCTGTTGGCGAATTCAGTGATCACGTGAACAACCTGAGACAAAACGATAGAAAAGATTTCAAGCTGGAATTTGAGGTGAAGTGAGAAATTCACAACCATAGCACGATTTCATCCAAGCTGTCTCTATCATAATTCTCAAACCATTTAGCATCATTATTATAGCTTTCTAAATTTAACCCAACTTTCCTATTCAACTTTTCAGGATTTACCAACGGCGAACATTTCCAACGGAGATATTTCAAAACGAGCGTTTAATCGACCGAAAAACAGATACGGCAACGCAGTCACATGTAAGTTAGTTAGACTTGATGTTTTAAAGACATCGTTAAGATTCAAGAATATCAATAAACGATGGTAATCTTCAGCCATCAACGAGTACTGAATGTTTTCTCTGGTTGTAGATAATGATTCTCGCGTCATTTTGTCTGGTGACGAAAAATCAGATTACATCAATGCTTCGTACATCAACGTGAGTGCAAAAACAATGACGTATGAAGAGGTCTGACCAGCACGACATTCCTAATATTTGTAATTATTTCTAGGGATTGTTAGCGAATTATTACATCGCCACACAAGGTAAAACGAAGAACACAATGAATATCATGCATTCAATAAAAACACTATTCACAACGTTTCATTCTCTTGAAGTGGAATGAAAAATATAACTGTAATTTCTTTATTCAGCTGGCCCAAATACTAGAGTGTAAATATCTGAGTTGACGTATTTTACTTAGGACCAAAACCAGCAACAGTGAATGATTTCTGGCGGATGATTTTTGAACACAAATGTCCAACAATCGTCATGTTGACCACATTGAAAGAAATGGGAAAGGTTTTTTATTATTATAACATTTTACCATCAGACAGCAATGTAAAAACTACAGTTACATAAAAAATTTAAATTAATCTCTGGAAAAATGAAATACGACTTTCTTTTTTCAGGTAAAATGCGAGAAATACTGGCCTGATGACTCTGGTTTGTATGGAGATATCAAAGTGACAGCCAGAAAAACAAGAACATTTGCTGACTACGTTACTCGGCTATTCACTGTTGAAAAGGTAACTAACTATAAACACAAATTAGCTCTATTAACTCAGACAAGATGAGTAGATGAATGCTTTAAAATGAATATCTTTAATCCAGGGGGGTGAACAACACAGAGTTCAACAGTTTCACTTCAAAGCATGGCCAGACTATGGTGTTCCTCACTACCCAACACAGATTTTAACTTTCAGAGGACATTTCAAGTCTTTTCATGAGACTAAAACTGAACCAGCTGTGATTCATTGCAGGTAGGAAATTATTAGATTACTGTTAGAGCAAGTGAAGATTGTGAAAATTATGATAGATGAGAGTTTCCCAGGAATGGTTGGGACGGAATAAGCGCGATATTTCTAGTGAACGTTTACCATTAATACTTTCAACAGCGCGGAGTTGGTCGAACAGGAGTGTTCATTGCTGTGGACAAGATTTTGGATGATCTTGACAAAGAAAAGAAAGATGTGATCGATGTCTTTGGCTTTGTGAAAGACATGAGAACAAGACGAATGAACATGGTGCAAACTGCTGTAAGTGTCAGGTGACATAAAGCTATTGACTGTCCATAATCAACCATTATTTTAGCGAAATGAAAAGAAATACCAATCAAGATGTCTCTGTGACATTCACTCTCTCAAAACCAAACACCAGCCCACCATTAATAACAAGGTTATTTTGTTTACCATTCAGGATCAATATGTGTTTATTCACGATGCAATCGTTGATCACATCAAGTGTGGAGCGAATGAAGTTCAAGCAACGCATGTGAAATTCGAGATCAAGAAATTATCAGAGCAAACTAGCGAAGGCCAGACTGGATTCGAAGAGAAGTTTAAGGTAAAGAAAAATTTGATTCAGTTGCAAGTTGGATGCTGTTGTTCATTTCTATCTACAACTATCATGGGATTAAAAGTAATTTTGAGTAGCCACAGTGTATGTGAAGGACTCGTGTTAAACCTTCAATATATCCAAGATATTCTTCCTTGTACAGCGTTTGAACACAGTCTCACCGAAGTTGATGGAGGATCAATGCGAAGCAGGACTTTTGGAGGAGAACAAGAAGAAGAATCGAAAGGAACACATTTATCCATGTAGGTTAAAATGTGTTTTAATTTGAAGTTTTGCATTATAATATTTTGTGTTTATCTTTCTGTTCCAGCTGAGTCTGGTCGTGCTTGTCTGAGTCATCTTGAAAATGTCGCGAATTCGGATTATATAAATGCTTGCTTTGTCGATGTGAGTTTATTATTATGGTAACCGAGTAACTAGTAAAATAAAGATGTGACGAAAACCCTTTCAAAACCGATTTATCTAAATAGGGTTATCTTGGCAAGAATTATTTTATTGCTACACAAACACCTCTGAAGGAGACGATTAACGACTTTTGGAGGATGGTGACCAAATATTGTTCGTCAACAATCGTCATGTTGAATCAGTTGGGTGAAGACGAGGTCAGTAGGCAATTGCGTTCTTCCTAACTGAGGAATCTGTCAAGTCTGTTATCTATCACCACATCAGCATGCTTGTTCTTCGGGAAAATTTGGGATGCCTTGATGCTTGCTATTGTGAAGCCCACTGCTAATTCTTCACTTTAAATGGTGCTAATACAATTGTTATCATTCAAGGAATACCCAATGTTTTGGCCAACCCAGAGAGCTAAACCACAGTCATTTGGAACCACCACAGTAATGTTGGATTCTTTCGTCAAAAAAGAAAATATTGTTGTTAGAAAATTCATCGTTTCACCATCAGCGGTATGTATTATCAGTACTCGATTGTATCTCAAACATTATCATAAATGACGCGTACACTGCTAATAATGATTGATTTGAACTTTCTTCTATACACGACCAGGATTTGAAAAATGGTCACATGTTAAGATTGGTTCAGTACATGACGTGGCCAGACCATGGAGTACCAGAAAATGTTAACGATATTGTGAAACTTTTGTCTGAAGTTGAAGACGCGAAAAGAGCGGCGGAAAAGAAGGGACCAATCATTGTTGTTTGCAGGTATGGAATTATATACATTTGTGACTTTTTACTGGAATTAATATATTAATTAATTGAATCATTCAATTAAGAATCAATTAACGAGTATTTGTCAATTAGTTTAAGCAATTTAATTTATTTTCTAGCGATGGTGCTGGAAGAAGTGGAACGTACATTGCAATTTCTAATCTTGTGGACAGAGTGAAAGTTGTTCAAGTCATTGACGTCTTTCAGTGCATCAAATTGATCCGTGCAAAGCGTCCACAGTTCGTTGAGACCGCGGTAAGTTAACGTAGAATGAACTATTCCAATCAGTCGCAGTTCTAATAAAACTATACTGTACATAAAGTTACATAAAAGGCAAAATTATTGACACGAGAAAACCAGTTGATTTAGTTCGTGTTTTCTCCCGTTTTAGGCTCAATTCAAGCTCTGTTATGAAGCCGTTTCAGCTGTTTTGAATTCCTTTAATGAATATTCAAACTTTAGCGATACTTAACACAGCAAAATCAGCACTTCGGAATCAGCTAGTTAAATACTTAGGTATATAACCGCTTAGTTTTAATTTAATCATCATGGGAATTAGGAAAAGACCAAGGACATTCAGTTCATAAGATATTATTAAAATAATGAAAATAGAAACCTCCATATATTTTGAAGATCAGGCTAAAATATATCGCCTGATGAATTTATGTATACCATCTGACGAGTCAGTTGAATAATATTAACATTTGGGGATTTTTTCCACCGTATGACAGCGAGATCGTAGCGTACATTATTGTTCCTGGGCACTCAGCTATAGCACTAATGAATGAATACGCTGCATTTCGTAACAATTAAAGAGGAAAACAGACCTTAGAAGTACAGTTTCCTTGGAAATCTAAATATCATTCATAGCATTAGCGATTGTTGGCTTATATTTCATGTCCTAAATCAACACATCGACTGTTATTCATAATATATCCATGTCATTCAAATTGCTTTTGAAAAATATAACAGAATTGCATGGTAGAACTCAGCAGGAATTAATTCAAGAATGTCAGAACTTTCGTTTAACCTTTTGAATTATGAAAGCAGCATTCAGACTTCATGCTGAGTTTTTATGAATATTTATCTTGGTCAAACAGAATTAATCTCCTCTTCCGCGTTTGCCATTCATAAGGACGTTTCCTTGCACAACTAAATCATGTAATATATCGCAATCGTTATGAAGTTTCTTCTCAATTAATTGATAAGATGTTATTCAAGTGTTGTAAATGGGAGTTGACAGGGATTATTGTCTTCCTCGTGTATCTTCAGGGTAAGTATAAGCTGTATAACATCATTTAAAGCAACCAGGAACTATTTGAGAATGGACTATAGGTATTGTCGCGATTGAATTTGTGTTTCACAATGAAGCCTTTAAAGAGTTCTTTATATGCTCGATTTATATTCAGAGCCGGCAAAAATTCAGAGCCGGAACGAACTTGGGGAAGAGAAGACTTGTACGCTAATAGGCTATGGTTCGTCTTGATTGTATATGTTTGGTAGCCTACAAGTGTAACAAGTGTTCAGAGCCAGACGATGCTTGCCAACATATAGTATACTGATTATTAGATTGACTATGGCTACCTGACGAATATATGTGACCCTTCTTTCGCCATGACTTAAACCTCCAGAGACTGATCTACGCAAGATGTGATCAGTAATTGAATTGTAGAGACAAGTTCTGTCTCATCAGACAAACTTCTAACTTCATGACGTCTATAAAACTAGCGATCCGCAAACACTGCATGCATGATGCACTTATCACACAAAGTACTAGGACATTGCGATCTCGACCTTTTCAGGACATTACGATCTCAAATTGGGTCCTGTCTGCATGGATGTGCGGGCTTTACAAGAAAGCTCACGTTAATCACACGCAAAAAGCAATTTTACTCCGAGCGCAAAATTTCCCCTAGTAGAGAACATTCTTTAAAAGTTGTTAACTGTTTTGGCAGTGCCAGGCAGGTCAAATGCTCTTGCATTGGCCCGATTTATATAATTGGATGATGATGATGATCCGCCTGAACTAGAAAACGAACTATATTTCGCTTGCCCAAGTTCGTCTAGATGGATGATCCGTCTCTAGAATAAATCGGGCCATTGGTTCCACACGGTATTTTGTAATTTTCAAGGTTCTGTTGGTTTCTTCGTGAAACATATCAAGACAGGAAAGTGTATCTATGACACAGCACGAATACAGGACCAAGGCCCGCTCTGGGGCAGCCTGTCTTTTCTTCAACTCTCCAACAACTGTCTGGATCCAGCTGCTCAGTTTCGGTTTCGTGATAATGGCGCCATGTTGAATTTGAAAAGACAAGGATGTCTTGTTATAAAAAATAGGAAGAGTCAAGGTGAAATATTTTACGTCTACGTTCCTGCTACCACAGTAATTAGAGAAACATCTGCCTGTGCTGACAAACGGGTTATAAAACAAACCTCTTGGGGAGGTTTACGTGGACTTAAAGATGATTCTGCAGCCAGGTGTGCAGACCCTGATGGATACATAAACATGACTGCAAGCTGTGTAGACGGGGAGAATAAACGTTTTATTTTTGGTAAGTTTCCGTACGATCTTTTCTGCTAGTCAGCGTTGCAATTGTCTGAGGCGGATTTAATTTCGATAGCAGTCAAGGGCCGCGGAGGATTGTTAAGTGGGGGAGGGGGAGGTGTGGTCAAATATTCATGTTAAGCCTGCAGGGTTTACATATGACGCCGACCTGTCGCCGACCTATTGTCTGTAATCATCCAAGGAGAAAATGATTTCAGAAGACAAAATATTTCACTCTTCAATAATCACCGACAATAATACTTTGCCGACGTCGGCGTCATATGGAAACCAGGCTTTGGCAGACCGTGAAAAAGATCAATTTCAAAATATACTAATAAGTAATAATGCTGAAGGACGAATAAATATAGAGATTACTTCATGGTTGGCGAGTATGTGCAATTTTTATGCACTAGTTGTGAAGCATTTCAACACGAACAAGTGAGCGTAGCGAACGAATGAATTTGCAATATTTCACATCGAGTGGATAATAAAAATCGTACAAACGAGCCAACTATGAAGTAATCTGCTTATTAAATGTGTATAGAGATGAATCAATTTAACAAAGACACGCTAGCTTAATTTGAATATAAAAAAACACAGCGAAAAACAAATATCGAAATTTTTATGCATCGAAAACATACTTATTAACGTCCAGTTTCTTTGTAATTTTCTTCAGTAGAAGTTATAGATATTCTTTCCCAAATATTTGATAATGTCAAATGTGATATCCTATATTTTGACGCCATCGTATTTCACGATTTAAAAAACAATTTGAAACACGATTTTTATTTCACCATTCAACTGTGCATATAAATATCTATACACATAATAAATGAATATATGCACACCCCCCCCCCCCTTAAAGATATTCCGTGGAAGAAGAAGAACGCGTAAGAAGCGTTCTCAATTTAGAGGATTACACACAGTCACTGCATGCATTCTTTTTATTAAGGTTCAGTGACATGTTATGGAGAAACGACAGAGAACGTGAATTGTTCTAAAGATCAGTTAATGGTGGTCAAGACTGCATCTTACCGTGGGTTGTCTGACTCAAAGACATGTGGTTTGCGTGATGATTATAGTTGTACAGTTGATGTAACATGTCTTGTTAAGAAACAATGTGATGGTCAACATGAGTGTAAAATCACTGTGGATAAAACCTTGTTCTCTGATCATCTGTGTCCTGTATTGAACAAATATCTTTACTTTGAATATCAATGTATTGATACTGTGAAATCTTATAGCGTTGTTTGTGGTATGTATAGTGTCTATAATAAAGATTTATGCTGTTTTACAAGAACGTAACAAGTTATCTTGTATTTCAGGTCATATTTGCAACAATCCTCTGTTAGAAGACAAAGAAAGATTTCCAGATTCGTCATTCACTGCCTCAGTTTCTCCAGGTCCCAGAGCTTCTGATGCAAGGATATCTAGTGGTAGTTCTTGGTGTGCTCCTGTCTCAGATTATAAACATTATCTTCAAGTGGACCTGAGAAGACTTTATGTGATATCGACTGTCGCAATATTTGGTGACAGTATCAGTGCAAAATGGGTGACAACTTTTTACTTAAATTACACGGCTGTTGATTCTAACAATTGGAAACAAGTTCAGACTGGAAATCACAAGGTAATTGCTCCGATACGTTTTCTTTTACATTTTTATGCCTACATCAAAAGAGGGAAATATCGTATACGGTATTATTGCATCAAAATGAGTAGTCCAATGTTCAATTCTCGCGCAAATGTAAATTTTCCTGACATTTCTATGCATCTGTTTAAAGATATTTCAAGGCAACAAGAATGCTTTTAATGGCGCAACCATAACAAGTTTGAATGTCACAACAACAAGAGCTTTACGGTTTATTCCATTGTCATATGAAGTTCAACCTTGTATGAGAATTGAGATCTGTGGTCAGAGTAAGTTACGTTTATTTCTATCGAGGATTTGGTAAAGCATTTGCAGTTGGTGATTAGAAAAGTTCATTTTGATAATTATGAGTTTGATTTCCTTTCTTAACAGCTTTATATCCAGACCAACCTAGAAACATCACCGCCTTTAACATCACGTCACAAAGTGCTGAAATATCGTGGATTGATCCAGAGAATCAAGGATTTACAAGCTTATCAAGATTTTGGATTAAAATGAAGAAGGACGGCTCAATTATTGTGAATATGACCACGGGAAAAATAAATAAATATAAAATAGACAAGCTCACTCCATACACAAGTTATGAAATATCTGTAGCTGCTGGAAACAAGGATGGTTTTGGCGAAGAGACTATTATTGCGTTAGTTACACGAGAGGAAGGTATCGGTTTATTCTTCGCGCATTGTTTAAGATTGCTACACCTCCCGCGATAGAAATTTTACCTGACTGATATTCTGCAAAATAATAACGACTTGTTACCCTGCCTCATTTGTTACATGCTTGAACCCGTTCATGCATAGAAAATTCGAAGAAACGTCTTACGGTTACCATTTTGATATATTTAGCACCAGAAGGTCCTCCACTGAACGTCAAAGTCACCGCAGAAAATTCAACCTCATTATCAGTCACTTGGCATCTTCCTGAAGAAGAGAAAAGAAATGGCGTGATCGTCAATTATACTGTGTGTATCTCACATGAAGAAACTAAACCTTGCTTTAAAGAACATACTACAGAGAAGATGATGTTAGTCATCGACAGTTTGAATGCCTCAACCAAATATTATGTTCGTGTTCTTGCAAGTACTAAAGTTGGTCGAGGAAACTACAGTAAAAGTCAGGGAATATTTACAAATGGAGGTAAGATCCGACGTTTAATCATGAGATCTATTAGTCGGAGAAGAGTAAACTTCACAAAGTAAAATTTTCACAGTCAAAAATTTTACCTCAGATTGCCAACGAATTTACATATTTTCCCGCAGAAGGAACAAAGATGGCCACAAATAGAACAGAAACTACATTAACTTTCTCGTTACAAATTCCTTTAGAAAATTTTACGTAAGTTCAAACATTTGTAAAGCAATATTAGAGAGAATTTCATTGCATGAATGAAATAAATTGGATGACCAACTACAGACTTTGTGTCTTGCTGAACAAACGGAATATGTTTTAGGTATTTTTACGTCGTGGCTTTGAAACTGAGAGAAAGCAGTGACAAACTTCCATCATCCAGCAGTTACAATGATCTAGTGACATACAAAGAAGCTAAAACGTCAGCTGAACCAAAACCTTATATTGCCGCAGTCATTACAACCAGAAATAAAACCATGTTTATACTTGGTGATGGTGGAAATACAAGTTTTCAAACAACACGAAGACGAAGATCAACAACAAATGATTATTATAATGGACCACTGGAGTCTGGAGCAAGTTACAGTATTTTTCAAAGGATCTTTCTTGGTGACAAGGTATGACTGGGAATTTATCTTAAATACATGAGGTTACCGAAACACATTGAAGATGAAAACTTCTACAGATGTTAACGCTGCCTCAACTTAATATTTCCCTTCAGGGTGAATTTTACTCAACGGATTGGAGCCCTGCTTCAGCAACAGTTGGAAAGATGACAACACCAGCAGCAAGCACTCCTACAATTGCAACAAGCGCAAGTAAGCCCAAATACATAAAACCTGTGTATAAACTAAGGTTATGTTGTCAAAACAGGCGCATGATAGTAAAGTGCCATGAATAATTGCTTTATGGTGAAAAAGATATGTGCAGAAGGTATGAACGAACTTCATATCCCCTTCGTAAAAAGGCTAAACAATGCAAGACAATTTAAAATCGTCGGATTAACGTCAAGACTAAGGATATTTTTATTTATGATCATGTAGAGAGTGAAGAAAGCAATAATATTCCAATGATTGCTGGTGCAGTGGCTGGTGGTTGTGTTCTTCTCATCCTGGTTATAGTCGTGATCATTTTGTGTAGAAGGTAATCATTTTTACGAAAGATTTAACCTCAGGGGAACGAACTCTGTTCCCCAGTTATAATCACTATTTATATTTCACGGCTCCTTTTAAATAGATTAGTTTCATAAAATGTTTGAGTGAAGAAATTGTATCATGTCTCTGAGGATAGCTCTAAAATGGACTATATAAGGCCTTTCAAAAACGTTTTATTCCTCAAAGTTCCGATTGTGCGCATTGCTGTTTTACGCTCGCTGCTTGAATGTCATCTTGTATTTCAGACGCAAGAGCAAGAAAGATTCGGAACCGTATTTTGATATGGAAGAGAAACCAAAAGTTGCTCCACCTGCGATCAACGAAGCATATCTTGATTCTAACGACAGACATCTTGGTCCCAACAGCTCCACTGAAGTACAACCGAACCCCACCGTTGCAGATGAAGTAGATGCGGGTAATCCAGTTGAGGAGAAAAAGATAGATCCTTCAGATCTTGCTGCTGCTAATAAAAATATCTATGATAACCAAGAAGGTGGGTGAGACTAATTGTTCCTTACTGCGACGCCAAAGTCAGAGGTTGCTCTCTCTCGTTACAGCAGGGGACACCCCACCCTAACCCCAGGACCCTAATGGGGAAAGGTGGAGGCACCTTACTAAGACAAAGTTCTCCCTGTCACTGACTATAGGCAACCAGTTAGCGCTTAATTACAGAATATTGTATTTCTTTGAATCCTCGTTAACTCAAATGCATATTTTGCCAGCTGTTGTTGCGAGGATTCATAATCCTGTTCCTGTTGACGAATTCAGTGATCACGTGAACAACCTGAGACAAAACGATAGAAAAGGTTTCAAGCTGGAATTTGAGGTGAAATGAGAATCTCACTACCATAACACGATTTCTTTATCATAATTCTCAAACCATTTAGCGTCATTGTTATAGCTTTCTAAATTTAACCCAACTTTCCTATTCAATTTTTCAGGATTTGCCAAATGCGAACATTTCCAACGGAGATATTTCAAAACGAGCGTTTAATCGACCGAAAAACAGATACGGCAACGCAGTCACATGTAAGTTAGTTAGACTTGATGTTTTGAAGACATCATCAAGATTCAAGAATATCAATAAACGATGGTAATCTTCAGCCATCAACGAGTACTGAATGTTTTCTCTGGTTGTAGATAATGATTCTCGCGTCATTTTGTCTGGTGACGAAAAATCAGATTACATCAATGCTTCGTACATCAACGTGAGTGCAAAAACAATGACGTATGAAGAGGTCTGACCAACATGACATTCCTAATATTTGTAATTATTTCTAGGGATTGGTAGCGAAGTATTACATCGCCACACAAGGTACAACGAAGAACACAATGGATATCATGCATTCAATAAAAACACTTTTCACAACGTTTCATTCTCGAAGTGGAATGAAAAATATAACCGTAATTTCTTCTTTCAGCTGGCCCAAATACTAGAGTGTAAATATCTGAGTTAACGTGTTTTACTTAGGACCAAAACCAGCAACAGTGAATGATTTCTGGAGGATGATTTTTGAACAAAAATGTCCAACAATTGTCATGTTGACCACATTGAAAGAAATGGGAAAGGTTTTTTATTATTATGACATTTTACCATCAGACAGCTATGTAAAAACTACAGTTACATAAAAATTTTAAATTAATCTCTGGAAAAATGAAATACGACTTTCTTTTTCACAGGTAAAATGTGAGAAATACTGGCCCGATGACTCTGGTTTGTATGGAGATATCAAAGTGACAGCCAAAGAAACAAGAACATTTGCTGACTACGTTACTCGCCTATTCACTGTTGAGAAGGTAACTAACTATAAACACAAATTAGCTCTATAAACTCAGACAAGATGAGTAAATGAATGCTTTTTTAAATGAATATCTTTAATCCAGGGAGGTGAACAACACAGAGTTCAACAGTTTCACTTCAAAGCATGGCCAGACTATGGTGTTCCTTACTATCCAACACAGATTTTAACTTTCAGAGGACATTTCAAGTCTTTTCATGAGACTAAAACTGAACCAGCTGTCATTCATTGCAGGTAGGAAATTAGTATATTACTATTAGAGCAAGTGAAGATTGTGAAAATTATGATAGATGAGAGTTGCCCAGGAATGGTTGGGACGGGATAAAAGCGATATGCTAGTGAACGTTTACCATTAATACTTTCAACACAGCGCCGGAGTTGGTCGAACAGGAGTGTTCATTGCTGTGGACAAGATTCTGGATGATCTTGACAAAGAAAGGAAAGATGTGATTGATATCTTTGGCTTTGTGAAGGACATGAGAACAAGACGAATGAACATGGTACAAACTGCTGTAAGTGTTAGGTGACAGAGCTATTGACTGTCCATAATCAGCCATTGTTAGTATAGCGAAATGAAGTGAAAAGAAATACATATCAAGATGTCTGTGACATTCACTCTCTTAAAACCAAAGACCAGCCCAATATTGAAACAAGGTTTATTTTGTTTACTATTCAGGATCAATATGTGTTTATTCATGATGCAATCGTTGATCACATCAAGTGTGGAGCGAATGAAGTTCAAGCAACGCATGTGAAATTCGAGATCAAGAAATTATCAGAGCAAACTAACGAAGGCCAGACTGGATTCGAAGAGAAGTTTAAGGTAAAGCAACATTCGATTCAATTGCAAGTTGGATGCTGTTGTTCATTTCTATCCACAACTATCATGGGATTAAAAGAAATTGTGAGAAATCAGATCAGTTCGTTGCCACAATGTAAATAAGGACTCATTTCAAAACTTATACCACTATATCCAAGATATTCTTCCTTTTACAGCGTTTGAACACGGTATCACCGAAGTTGATGGAGGATCAATGCGAAGCAGGACTTTTGGAGGAGAACAAGAAGAAGAATCGAAAGGAACACATTTATCCATGTAGGTTAAAATGTGTTTTAATTTTACGTTTTGCATTATAATATTTTGTGTTTATCTTTCTGTTCCAGCTGAGTCTGGTCGTGCTTGTCTCAGTCATCTTGAAAATGTCGCGAACTCGGATTATATAAATGCTTGTTTTGTCGATGTGAGTTTATTATTATGGTCACCGAGTAAATATTAAAATAAATGTCGAAATGACGAAAACCTTTTTATAACCGAAATATTTAACAGGGATATCTTGGCAAGAATTATTTTATCGCTACACAAACACCTCTGAAGGAGACGATTAACGACTTTTGGAGGATGGTGACAAAATATTGTTCGTCAACAATCGTCATGTTGAATCAGTTGGGTGAAGATGAGGTCAGTAGGCAATTGCGTTCTTCCTAACTGAGGATTCTGTCAAGTCATTGCAGAATTATGTCTAGATCTGCTTGTGCTTGAGTAAAATTTGGGATTTTCCTAAATCCTTGCTACTGTGAGGGTCAAACAATGTCCACTGCTAATTCTTCACTTTAAATCGTGCTAATACAATTGTTATCATTCAAGGAATACCCAATGTTTTGGCCAACCCAGAGAGCTAAACCACAGTCATTTGGAACCACCACAGTAATGTTGGATTCTTTCGTCAAAAAAGAAAATATTGTTGTTAGAAAATTCATCGTTTCACCCTCAGCGGTATGTATTATCAGTACTCCAACATTATCATAAAGGACGCGTACACTGCTAATAATGATTGATTTGAACTTTCTTCTATACACGACCAGGATTTGAAAAATGGTCACATGGTAAGATTGGTTCAGTACATGACGTGGCCAGACCATGGAGTTCCAGAAAATGTTAACGATATTGTGAAACTTTTGTCTGAAGTTGAAGACGCAAAAAGGGCAGCAGAAAAGAAGGGACCAATCATTGTTGTTTGCAGGTATGAAATTATATACATTTGTGACTTTTTAGTGGAATTAATATATTAATTAATTAAATCATTCAATTAAGAATCAATTAACGAGTATTTGTCAATTAGGTTAAGCAATTTAATATATTTTCTAGCGATGGTGCTGGGAGAAGTGGAACGTACATTGCAATTTCTAATCTTGTGGACAGAGTGAAAGTTGTTCAAGTCATTGACGTCTTTCAGTGCATCAAATTGATCCGTGCAAAGCGTCCACAGTTCGTTGAGACCGCGGTAATTTAACGCACAAAATAAACTATTTTTCAACTGTACTTCTAATAAAATGATTTAAAGTAAGATGAAGGTAACATTGACAGTGAATAGATGTTGTTTGTTCCTACTTTCAGGCTCAATTCAAGCTCTGTTATGAAGCCGTTTCAGCTGTTTTGAATTCCTTTAATGAATACTCAAACTTTGGTAATACTTAAAGAGTAACTAGGCTAGTTATATGTACTGGAGTCACTATACCACAAAGATCATTTACATTGCATTCATTTATAACCCAAATAACTTGTAAAGTTAAACATTTTAGTCCGTCAAACTAGTATATAATTCGGAACCATTTCCTTTCGTAGATGACGTTAAATTTATAGGCATCTTCCACGAGTAACTTATTAAAAATAGCACAACATATGCCAGGCATTATAACATTAAGAATGATAGAATGAATGATATTCCACGACAGTTGCATGTAACCTTTCCCGAGGCAAGAGAATCCAGAGGGTTTATCGGTTTAATCAAACCTCGTAAGTCGTAACACAAGATATAGTTCGCTGTTCGCATTGTATTCACTATATAGCGCCATAATATAATTATATAAACGTACCACTAAATTAGAATAAAAAATTGCGACTTTAAACAAGTTTAAATACTTTATTTGTAACAATATTTAATAACAAATATGAAATAAACACAGAAACATCGAAGCAAATGCTGTATATACTCACCCAATAAGCCATGTAAATGCCTTGCTTTGGTCATTCAAAGTCTTGATTTCGCTCTAGTTCTCCTTTCTTCTCGATTTTGCACGCTCCGAGTGTTCGTTTGATCAGTTTAGTTCCAGAATACATAGTAAGGCAAGTATTCTTTATGATATTTGCTACATATTCATGTCGCAAGTGAAAAAGAACTTCTAAAAAATTTAAAACGGCCGCCATGCCTATGAAGAAACGTGCTCTTTTAAAGCACAACTTTAGAAAAAAACATATGCCAAAATGACATTTCAAGATGGCGCCTGGACCATTGAGTGATACAAAAATATAAGTTCGAAAAAACCCCCACAGCATCAGTAAAACAATTTTATTTTGCAATTTCACAAATTCGCATTATTTCCAGTGTGTTTCAATTAAACAACCCTTCGTAAATTCGCTTCAGCTTCAGCTAGCAAACTAACCACGTTACAGAAAACCATCATCAAAAGTGCCATCACATTCTGAAGCGAATTCGAGAAAGATTTTGTTCATTATTTCTACAAATGTCTACATGTATAGTTACACAATAATTGCTTGCAGTAAAACTCATTTACTAAGTTGAAATCCTACACTTTGTCTTGCTTAATACAGACAAACAAATGCCACTCGAGGAATACACTATAAGTATACTAGTTAAATGGTTAAAATACGAAATCCTCAATTCCTCTACAAAACAGCTTTAGACGACCTCATTCTTGCTCAGTTAATGACAGATTAGAGATGGCATTGCCCAAATCGAGTGCCCTTTGATGATTAAAACCAATAGTATTGCTGTCAGGTCCTGCTGGCTGTCGAATGATGGTGAATCTGTGAGAAATATGAGAGACATACATAAAAAAACCCCAACACAACTCATCGAAGTTCACCCTGTGCGTTTTAGGGGGAATAGCACAAAAGTTTAGATGATTAATGCAACAATACCTAAACTTGCAAAGAACTAAGCTAACCCAACAACCCCAGTGGAATTTATTAAAAAACGTTGAGGTAATCTGACATACTTGAGAGACTGATCATCCCCAATGAGGCCCAAACTTCGTCGTACAAGACGTTCAGGTCGTTGTCTTTCACTGTAAATCAAGAAAAGGCGAGAAAGAGCTTATTCCATGCTGTCAACAGTCATAGAGGGATGAACTCCGAAAGCATGCACTTACCTAACAACAGAAATCTTGCACGCACTCTGTTTGCCATTTCGAGTGTTGTGGATGATGGAAAATTCCACGGTATCACCAGCCTGCATTTCAAAATATCGTTCATCAGAAAATGAAGATAATGCTTAGGGTTTTAAAACACACACACTACCTTTATCGATATTGTATCATCTTCAATTTCGCTTGTATGAAAGAACAAATTCTTGGCCTCGTCAGTTTCATAAGCTATGAAACCATACTGGAAGAAAAATTTCACAAATGAATTTCAATCATCAACTCCCAGCCTTCTCATTCTTGGTCAAGGCAAAAAGCGCTTCGAAGTGGTTTCATCTTCAAACACAAACAATTGAGGTTTACTGATACAGGTCATCACCACTGTATGTCAACTGATTCCTCCCCATGTTACAGGTAAATCCAGGAGAATACCCACCTCACCCTTGACAGACTCAACCACTGCTCTCAAACGTTCTCGCTTAGCAGTGATCTCGACAGCAAACTGCTTGTCCGAGGTTTCTGAACAACCAATGCGAAACTCAACCTAAATGAAGATTAGAAAATGTTGAACGACGGTGTGGGAAACGATAGGACAAAGAACAGATGTTTCTCCATTACCTTCTCTCCACATTGCAGTACAGTGTTCTTGTCAACCAAACCAGTTATGCCGTAAGGAATAACATAAACAACATCATCCTCCACGTCTTTGCTCTCACTATCCGATGTTTCTATCATATATTCGATCAAACCTTGGTAATCAACTTGCTGTAAAATACAGAAACTGATCAGTCGATCAATGACGACATGATTAATCCTAACACACCTCATGCCAGTGATCAATAATGCAAGTCTCTCTCACCTGAGGATCTGCTCGTCTCAATGGACGAAGAATTCTTCCTTCAAACGTTCCCGAAATAACAGTCTGCGAGAAAAACAAAGAACAAAATCAGCTTCTTCCAAAACTAAGAAATGACTAAAATGGAAGGAGACTTTGAGAAAGTCCACTTCATTCTATGAAATCTTTCGTTTCTCAGGTTAAAACAAAGTATCTTACCTCTTGTGGAATAGTACCGCTGGCTAGCTTGATCAGCCTCTCAGCAGCAACTTTCCCGTTCTTTGCCGTGATATTAAACTCCACCTCATCGCCAAGCGAAAGATCTCCGTCATATTCACTAGAAACGAAAAGCAAGAATCGTTAAAGCGCTTCCTGCAACATAGCGGTAACAATGTTGAAGATTCGCTTTATTTAGGCCTCGTTCAAATATAACCACCCCAGTCAGGGAGATGACATATTTGAACGAGGACTTTACTACGAGAACCAGGTTTTATTTACATGAAAACATGCAATGTTTACTTACATAAAGCGAAAGAAGATGTCTTTCTCGTGATCTGCCAACTCAATGAAACCAAAAGTATCCTTCAACGCGGCAACAAAACCCTTTAAAAGATGAAAAATGAAAGTTGCTTATTCAATTGCACGATATGAATACGACATTCACCAATCCAATATGATTACGTTATTACGTACGAGATGTTTGACGTCACTATTTCGTTTCATCACAGTAACGTTCACAGCCATTTGGTGTCCAGTTCTCTCGCTGACCGAAACTTGAAACTCGACCTGAAATTACACAACAATTATTACACAAACCAGATTGGGTACCGACCAAACCAGATTGGGTACCGACCAAACCAGATTGGGTACCGACCACATGCAATGGCCAATCAGAAAGATGCGTTGTAGGCAAACTACGTCAGTTTTTATGAAGGTCTATACAGTACCTGATCTCCAAATTTCGCCATCGTTCTGAGATCAGAATCAACGGGAAAGAATGGCAAGGCAATCTTCTCATTTTCAATACACGCAACAATCAAACCACACTCGCTGTCCCTGGAAAGCAAGAAACATTGTGAATCATTGGAAGAATAACATGGTTTTTGACCTTTTATACCAGGCAAAACTAATGAAAGTTTGATTTAAGGTTTTCACCAACCTTTCCCGCTCCACCTTCCTTGGACTTCGTCCCATCCACGGCGCTGACTCGCGCTCCACGATTCCGGTAAACCACTCTTCTGTCATTGGCTGAAGAAAAACATACGTAATACGTAAACACAAGGTGGGAGATGGTAAATATCGCGGACAAACGAACTCTTACCTTTAAACCAATACTTCCTCTCGGCAGGATTCGCACGCGGATTGCATGGAGACGTCCACCAGCGACATAATCCTACACGGAATATGAGAATTAACAGAATCACCGTTAAGACAACATGTCATATTTATTTGTGTGAATAAAACATTTCCATACCTCGACAATACTGAACTCCACTTCATCCGAAAAGTTGATTTCTTGTTCCTAAATGGTTCGGTGAAAATCAATTCAAATCATCTTTGTTTGACTTATACGATGAATGTTTGTGAATGACACGGACAAGATTAGTGGCTTCGATCATGATCCCATCTTTACACTTACCAGGTCGATAAGCTCGCTGAAATGGAAAAACAGCCTCGAGTCTCTGTCGCAGCATTGAATAAAACCAAAACCATCTTTCAACGCGGATACAAAACCCTAGAACACGGCAAGAAGTCAATTTTAACAAGACGAGGAAAAACATCAGGTGTTTCGCAGCCATTATTTATGCTATGCCTACCCTTTCTCTGACACTGCCACCGTTAGCACTCTCCGCTTCTTTTATCAAATAAATCTCTGTTGCTCTTCTCAAAGAATCTCGCCGATCTAGGCAAATGATAGAGGTAATTGTGAGAGGAGAATATTGATTATTTAACAATGGGAAAATCTAGTTTTCTTTGCTTTTATAGATGGTTGTAAAACAGGCTTTTACCAGTTGCAATTTTGAAGCCAACCACATCGCCAGGAAGGATGGTGAATTCACCCAACACGTCTTTCTCCCCATAAGGCAGTTCAGAAGTACCATCGTTGGTGCTGTACAATACTTTGCCGTTCAATGGCTCCTGTCTCTTGTTACGACTGAACACTTTCTCCACGGTTCCTTGGAATGTATCTTTACTGATGTCCTCAAATTTCACCGTGCCTTCCGGAAGTGGTTCCACCGACACTGCCACCTCTTTGCCCTGTAGAAATTATAGAAATATGAAGATGCTCAATGATTGATGTAAATATAAGAAATAAGACTTGATTATATCGAAGTTAACGTACGTTGCGGGCATGAACAACAAACTGTACATCATCTCCCAGTAAGAGATCACCAATGCCACCTTGGAACTCGCTGTAGTGGAAGAAAATCTACAAGAAAATTCCCCAAAGTTAGTGCACGACCTAGAATTCCTGTTTTACCAAGGGAGAACTCATGCAACTCACAGAATTTAGTTCATTTCTCTGGCACAAACCTCGTTGACTTTGTCAGCTCTTTCAATGAAACCAAAAGACTCCTTCAATGAGCAAACAATGCCTTGAACATACACGGGAGGAGCTGCTTTGACAAGCAACAGCTCAACCGCACAATGATGACCATTTCTAGAAGTATTGAGATAAAGGATGTCTACTTTTAGATTTGTAAAGTCAGGCCTTGATTGATTTAGTGGTGGCTATAAGATTTCAAACACAAATACTCTTTTTAACATTGATTCAGGCTTTTGAGTCCTATTGTGGGTATGAGGTTTAAAAAAGAAAACTAACCTTTTGTTTTCCAGAGTGAAAAATGACACACTGTCGCCTTTGTATAGTTGAGAGTTTGAAATAACATCTGAGTGGTAGTATGGCAGGAAAAATGACTCCTTTCAAGAGAAAAGCAACGAAGATATACAGCGATGTTTAAATAATATTGAGAATATTTATATATATCTTTCACTAATCTACAGTACTTACGCCATTCACTTCGTAGCAAACACGACCAGCTTCCGAGTCACCATTACGAGAAGAAGACTAAAAAGCATGAAAAAATGCATCTTTAAACAACCTGTGCAAAACTGTCCAGTATTCTTACAAAACTCTCATACCTGTTTAGGATAACTAAACCTTGGAGGCTTAGCCTCAACTTCAACTTTTCCAACCACTCTTTCCTCACTCTTCACCTAGTAAACAACCATCACAAAACTCATTAGAAATTGTGTAAATGAACAATGAAAAGGTTGTGAGTTTTGACAGTCAGACACCTACCTCAAAAGTTACAGTTCCTGGTTCCAATTTCAGAACACGACAGGCAATTGGCTTTCCTGTACGTGTATCTGAGGATACCTCAAACTCAACGTTATCTAAAAGGGATAGACAAGCAACACTCTACTTTTTGATTCTCAGGAAATACAATTGTTTTAGACATTTGTTCACTATCATTGCAGATATAATATTTTTTTCACTAACCTCCTGTTTCGAGTTCATTAGCATTCCCCTTGTATTGACTGTAGTGAAAGAAAACTCTTAACTCCTGCTCTGCACACTCAATAAAGCCATAGGTTTGCTGTCAAAGAAACAAAATAACTCATATGAAATTGACTGAAGGTAGAATTAGATTACACAGTTGTATGCTTGTATTGAATGAAGTTGTCTAAGAGCATAATGACAAAAACATTAGGGGAAAAACATACACAAAGTTTTTCAATCACTCCAGTTTCTCTTATCCTCTGATGAAAGTTATTTGTTTGTTTGCCATTAGAAAAATAGTAGTCAGTGTTATGATGATAATCTCGAGATCCAGAGTTTTGAAGAGAATGCTTCTACAATAAAAAATATATTGTTTTGAAATATTATAAAAAACAAAGTCAGAAAGGATGGATTGACTTCCACGTTAATGACACTTGTTTAATTAACAAGGTTTTAATTGTAATTTGACAAACCTTCCAAGCATCTGTTGCCATTTTGAACGACCACGAAAAATGTGAAGATTTTACAATGTAATGCTGCCAGCAGATATAATGACACGTAGAAAAATTCTCCTTTACTTTTTTAATTCATCAAAAAATCTAATCCATTTGCTCCAAATGACTGGAACATTTATATAATTTTATGAATATTCTTCTAAATATAGTCAGGCTCTGCCTTTGAATGAATGCTTTCTATGAAATGTGGGGGGCAATACAATTTCTGTGGATATTTCTATGAAATCCAAGCGGCCGTTTCCTCATCTTGTTCTCCATTGTTGATATTTATTCCTAGAATAATGGGAGAAACATTTTGTCATTAAAGATGTCTTGCTCGTCAAGAGGCAAAATATAACAAACACCAAACATGGATTGGACTTAAGAATTATAAAAAGAGAATATTGCTCCTTGCACAATTCTTCGTGTGCTCTGTCTCTTAAAAAGAACTTCTGTATAAGACAGTAAGCAAAGACAGTTACAAATCAATAGGGAAAGCTGCCTAAATAGAATATATTTGGCAAATATTGTTTATTTTTGAAAAATAATATATGCAATATTACAAACTACAAAGTTCAAAGTAATATTCATTCTTTCCTCTACCTTTTACGCGATCGAAATTATTACATAAGTCTTTTGTATTTCTTCTACTAGATACAGTTTTTCGTACAACGGAGAGTACGAGATTGATGAAAACCTCGTGTCATATTACAATAAAATTTAAAACTCAGCAAAATATATTTCTAATGAAAACTGTATGTTCTCACCACGAAATATCAATTTCTATACCACACTGGGACGATCGCCTTCATCGAAAATTTGACAAGGTGCCCTACTTTTTTTAAAAATACAAGACGAGGGGTAAACATTGTCCCAAAAAGAAATAAAAACTAATAGCATGTGGACTTCTTTATCATTTGTGTCGACATAGAAAACCTTTGTTAAACGTCGACGCTATACACTTGCAATAATCATGCTATTATAACGTACCAAAGTGAACAAAAACGATGCAGTATGTTAGATGAAGGTTATAAGTACTTTATAATGATTGATCACAAAGTTTCATACCTTTCAAAGGGCAAATTTTGCCCCAAAACCACAACACAATGAAAGAGGTTGCGATCCGCCATATTACACCGGTCTACTCTAGTCGCATGGGGACTTCCTGCGCGTGACGTCACAAACGTGCATAATTATCCATTCTAATTGCATAATTACATAAATTACACGAATTATAAATTAATTTGTAAACAAAACATCAAGATGGTCTGCGTTTTGACTGTTTTCGTGCTAATTTCTGAACGTATCTTTGCGATATGAGCCAGAAACTTGGACGTTTTTCGGACCCACGAGATCCGAAAAGACCAGAGCGTATTTCGTTGGCTTACGGTGAATGGAAAGATATCCCAAGCAGAATTATAAAAAAGTATGGAAAGGTGGTCACTGAACTTGATCTAAGCTACAATAAATTTTTGTATCTTTTGCATTGTTGATCTTTAAAATCAGGATAACTGTAATAATGTGATAACAATGAAAAGAAGTTGTTCCTTAACTTCATATATCAGTGATTTAAAGTCCTTATGCGGCTTCACGAAGTTAAACACTGTCATCCTAGATCACAACTCAATATCAGCAAGGTCAACATTTCCCCAATTGGACACGCTTGAGATATTATGGCTGAATCATAATCAAATTACAAACCTGAGTTTATTTATTGAGAAAATCTCGCAGAGCTATCCAAATCTTAAATATCTTAGCATGATCAATAATAAAGCTGCCCCAAGCTACTTCAATGGTGGCACCTACACCTCGTACACAGATTACAGGTAAGTGATAGTATGCTTCAGGGGGGATCAGGGAAGGGGGCACCCCTAAAAATACTTATTGTGAGCAAAAAAGTAAGTAAAAAACTACAGCTTCAGCTTTCTGTCTACATATTTTTTTGAAAATTTTGGGCCAAGAGGACGAATAGGGAATTTCATTGCCAGCAAATTTCATGCCTTCTAAACCTTCCCTCCTCTCCCTAAACTTTGAGCAATGGTCAATGATTACCCAAGATAAACAGTAAAGTTTGACACGATATTGTTTTAAATCACATGAACGTTTATACACATTTATGAACTCTATTTTCAGGCATTTTGTCATTAGTTCACTTTGCAAACTTGAGATATTGGATGGCACAATTATCACCGAGAGTGAACGAAAAGAAGCTACAAAGGTGTATGGAAAACGAAGAGTAAAAACTCGCAAGGATTATGTACATAATAAGAGGAGATTGTGAAATCATATATTAATTTTTCTGATATTACACTAAAACCGTTATCAAGTAGTTCATGTTTTATTCACGCTTTATAAAGGTTTTTTAACAATTTTATATATAAATTTATAAATATACATTAATATTTTACAGTAATTTAATATCTTTCTATGTCCACTACCTGAAAGCAGTCGGCTACAGAATTACGACAGTAACTCAGAAACAATGTCTCTGCTTTTGCAAGCATCATGTTCAAGTCCATGTTCATTGATAATCTACGACAAAACAAAATACAAATACAGGAGTTTACAAAGTCATTTTCAAGTACTCCTCTATCTAATCAAAACTGGCATTTTCATTACAGCAATTAAGGTTTACATGCATTCAAATCACAAGCTTACCCATTGATAGTATTATATATTGAAGCAAGATCACTACAGTTGCTCAATTGTGTACGATTCGAGACCAGTATCGCCAAGCAGATAAATAGATCGAATGTGAAATCTGCGTTAACCTCAACAATTCCAGTGTAAAATTGCCCATCTGAATTAAAAAGAAAAGTTAAACACACTTGTCAAATGCTTGAATATTACCATATAGTTGCATCATGGCACAATAGCAGGGGAGATGATAAAGAACTTAACCTTGGTTTTTTAATTCCTCTGCTCTTTTCTGTCTCCTTTCTTTCTCTGCTTCCAATGACGATAGCTCCAGATGATGGCTACTGATGATCTCAAATATTTTCAGAGAATCCTCGTAATTAAACTCTCGTTTAAAATTTAGCAGAAGCCATCTAACAAGGGTTAAATGGTTGTTAGAATGATTGCATATGGAGGGTACATTTGTAATTTGGAAACACAGAAGATAATCTTGTTCATCACCTGTGACAAAATAGCAACTCTTTGATATCCAGACTTTTGAAGAAGTCATAGAGCTGTGAATCCATTTTTCTCAACAATGTTTGGATAAGTTCTATCAAATATGTTTATTTTTATATTCAATATGTACTATTTATTTGAGAATTTGTCTATGCACACAGCTTCTGTATTAATGTACCTACCTAGCTTGCTGATCATTCCATCTTCAAGGAACTCTCTCTCGACCCTTTCCATAAAGTTGAGAAAACAATAATATGTTTTATACTCTGACTTAAGCACAACATGAAATCGACTGACCAAATCATTCATTCCTTGTGTATAACCAATGTCTATGAACGAAAAGATGTTAATATATGTCATAAATTCATAAATACGTAATAATCAGTTAGCATCAAATAAACAAGACAAACCTGGTGAAAATGCGACATAAGTTAAAAGGATATTTCTCAATGCTAATAGATTCTTTGGATCTCTACAATGAAACATAGATTTTTGATGTTTTTTAATATACTCAAAGAATACAAAGATAGGAACACATTTTTAGACATACTGATAAAATTTTAAATTGCGATCAGTTCTTGGGACATCTTTATCGATAGTTCTTAAATAATGTCGTAAATTTGGCACATTTATCTTTTGCTTATTCACATTGATCTAAAACAGAAATGCATATATTGGTAGTGAGCTAAGTAAAGGCATATCCTTTTGACTTTAAGGTCAAAGAGAAATTTTTCCTTGACATAAAAAATCCCTACAATCCAATACTTGATGTAATCTCTACCTGTGCTTCTATTTTTGCAAACATCAACTGCTGTTGTACTTCGACTGATTGGTTTTCCTTGTTGACACCAAAATTTGGATTGTTGTTTGTACAATAGGCTGGGTTCAAGTATCTTTCCAGTTCTTCTGAACTGTTCTGTTCTTTTGCTAAAGTATTTTGAAGTTCTTTATGCCATTTCTCTTTCAAGACATCATATTGAACCATTCTTTCCACTGTTATCACCTCCCGTTCCCTAGTAACAAATTATACCATCAACACAAAAACTTGTTTGCCAACCATTCATCATTGGCAGCACAGAATACTTTACAAATATATATATACCTTGATGTTGAGCTAAAAGAGTAAAATCCAAACAAGAACATCCACACTTCTGCACGAATGTCATGACTTATTCCACCTAAAATAAACACGTGTTTCATGTTGACCTCATTTATCAATAATCAGGAAATGATGTCATTATTAGAAACATCAGATTAACTGAGAACCCAATCACTGCAATCAGCAAGCAATAAATGAATCTTAACACTTAATCAATCAATATTTCGTTACAAATTTAAAAGCTTTCTGCCACAATCTTCCACATGTTCTGTCCAAACAAATCTGTGCATTGTAATGTAACAAATTTGTGTACCTTTAAAAATAGCTTTCCGCAGTCCAGACTCGTTCAAAATTCTTCCATCGCTGTTAAAAAATGACCTCCATTCGGTTTCACAGAGAGGTGGCTCCCTTTCCACGTTCGATGTGGGAGATGAAGGTTCAATAGCGGCCGCCAAAGGCACGCGATTTTCACTACTTTCCACAGATTTTGCGTCCTGGAAATTCATGTAATCTATAAGCAGGGTATACATCAGAGTTGAATCACGAGGTTCAATCGCCAAATTTTAGTGTATTTTATACAATCCATCCCGATTATAGCCGTCAAAGTTTCCAAGTGTACGCAGAGTTGTATAAAATCATATTATTTCTCATCATATTTGACGGATAAGTTGATAAATCACAAAGGAAGGAGAAACAATCACATTATACAATATACAACTTCACTACACCCGATTCGTACACCTCACACCTGGTTCGTAATATTTCAAACCAAGTCACCTGAGAAGTTCCTATGTGCGGCAAGACGAAGAGCCTGGGTGCAAGACCATGGGGGGTGGATATTTTGGTAATAATTTCACGCCCAGAAACCACGAACTTTTAATCCTAAATTTGACCTTAACCTTTACCCAACCACTTATACCAAAGGATTAGAATCGAGGATTATATTCGTTGACTCTGGACATGAAATTAATACCGATATTGTGTCCTCACAATTAAAAAGAACGAGATTTTTTGCACTCGAGTTTGGGAGTAAATTGTCCAAGGAAGATGGTGCAAAACATCACACAAAAATGGTGTTTTAAAATTCTTTTTTTCTTTGAGAAAATTCGCGAAGTAGTACATTTTACAATACTATGAATTCTTATAGAAAATATTATTATGTTACAAATTGTAATGGCCAAAAAAACTGGCCACGATGTCAATAATAAATGCTAGAAAAGCAGATAAAATTTCCTCGACTGATATCCTAAAAACTAGGTCAAGCCTCATCTGCTAACGCACGCATCCTTTGCCCGTTCGACCTGAGTATATCAGTGTGGTAACCAGACATACAAGTGTGGGAAAAGTCTGGGATAAGGAGGCATCATTAACAGATTGGCTCGTCCTTTCCACCGCAAATTATTTTTGAATAAGTAAAACCTACACAAAAACAATTTATTAAATACAAATTTTCAACCGAGTAGATACGTTCACGATATGAAATAAACTGAAGTATTCAAAGTTTTTTAAGTGAAATTCAGTTAGGAACTAAAAAAATGAACAGCTATTTGTTTCCATTCTGATAGTATAAATTCCTACTATTTGATACTGAAAAGTATGATTATTTCTTCAAAACTCTTTGTTTAAAAACACTTTTCAAATATTTATATAAACACATTTCAAATATGCCCTGTTCAGCCCATATAAATATGACTATTTTTACCTTCCTTTTTATATTTTTTAATCGGGCGAACAGTGATTATTTTTCTGTTGTAGTTCACTTGCACGTGTGCGTAATTCAGGCAGTGAGCTGAACCTATACCTGGAGTAAGAATATCTAATATTCTACCAATCTATAATTGCAAAGATAATAGTTGACAGGCGTTTTAACATAATATGCTTGAGAAAGATTTGCTGAGTCAACCTTTTTGGGGTAAGATCCTACTCCAGGTTGGTTTAGAGGTCACTGGATTTAAGCAGCTTCTGCATAAATTCACTTCACGAATGGTGCGAGCCGCGAGTGCATGCTGGTATACGTTGGACATTCGGGCAAACCAAGCTGTTTAAATTCCATGATTTAGCATGAAGCGATCTTCACATCACATTATGGCACAAACGGTGCTCTTTAAGGATGAACGACGCAGGGATTGATTGATGTCTGATCTCTGATTCGTGATATTCTGACGCTGCAAAACACAAGGATAGTTATCTTAATAAGCGAACCAGGAAGACACCTGGAATCGCAGTAAAACTAGGAGTTCTTATCAGAAGAAGGGAAGAAGGGAATAAAAGTTTTCTTAGGAATCTACTTTGCCAAAAAGTTTGATAAGAATATCAAGATGATGATGTATCGTGAAGTGAACAAACGGAAATCCTACCTTTTCTTTAGCTTGCTGTTTTAACTGTTCCTGAAACGAATAAAAAATTGCTCAGTTTTCAAACGAATATTACACAACAACAACATGAACTTTAACACAAGTTAATTTCCGATTCGAAAAAGATAAAAGCACTTGAATAATGCATGCGTTCGTATGCCTGCGTTCTCTCGTTTACACAACAATTGAAATCAGACACGGAACATTTAGGGAGGAAAATCCCGACTTTGAAAAGTCGATGAAGATAAACGAATTACAGTTGGATTGTTTATTTACCTCTTGCAGTCGTGCAACTTGTTCTTGCAGTGAAATAACGATGTGAAAGTTTTCTTGTAGTTGACTACTTTGCTGTGAAAACAGGAAGTATTCACGTTACCGGGACGTGACTGAACATCCTGGCGGTAATTTCATTGAAATTACTGAAACAAGGAAATAATATTGTAGCAATGTCGCCTACCTTTAACAGCTCGTTTTTAAGCACTTGTATTTCGTCAACAAGACCTTTCTCGCGTACCTTTGAAAAGGAAAAACTTTGAAAAACGAGAAGCATAAACATTTTATAGTTGAAAGGAAAAGGGAAGGTTGTGACAACGACCTCGGCCGTGTTTTGTTTTACCTTGGCCTCTTTAAGCTGTTCGTTGTAGTCAACGTGACTATCTGACACACAGCCATTAGTGTGAACACCAGGTTTAGGAAACTAGAGAAAGAATACAACAGAATGTACAATTAACTTCGTTAGAATTGATGAAAATTATCAGGCTTAGTTCTTCTGTCATGAGCATGCTGCATGCATGTGTTTGTTATTTACCTTCGGCATTGGTTTTATTGGAGTAAGTTCTTTCTTGTCACGAGAATCTTTTCTCCCTGTTTGACTTGGAATCTAAAATAAGACGTGAATTTTACAAACATTCCAATGGTCACAAATCCAGGATAAAGTGGCATAATTCGGGGATAAAAAAATCCTTGTCCTTACCACAATCGCTGGCATTTTTGTTGTCTTAATATCTTCTCTTGGACCGCTATATAAAGTAAAAACATAAATAATCGTAAGAACCCAATGAAGGATCATTACCATTACACCGTTACAGACGTCTTTTGCCCAAGTGCTAGACAATTGTCAGACATGAAGTACCCCGCAAATATACATGAGATAGACGCGAGAATATTGTGACATCGCTGAGGTACTTACACTCTTCTTTTCGCTGGAATTGAGCCATTCGTTGATGACGTTCTTGTTGCAGGTCGTTGCCTGAAGACAATATTAAATAGAGACATAAGCATAGAAAGTTAAGTGTTTACATCCCACTGAAAGCATGTAATTGTATAATAGGCTCGCGCCAAGTGCCCCAAACCTATATTAGGAAGTTGTGAGTTGTAACAATGTTGCTTTAAAAAATCGTCTCTTACAAACTTGTTAAGATAATGCTCGAATTTTTTGCGATTCTAACAGCCTCTAAGCTGTAACAGGCCAAAAAAAACAAGGTTGTAACCGAATAACAAAGTGTTGAAATTTCTTGAAGATGTTGACCCAGATGAATAGTGAAATAAATCACTGCTAGAAAACCATGCATCATTTGGTCTGACAGCGCTGAGATTGCGAACAAAATGAACCAAGTACTACTTTGTACAGCTCACCTGCTCTCGATTGATGGCGGTAGTGCTGGATTGCCCCATGCTTTGATGCTATTTGGGGTCCCACGAGGTTTTCCAGGTGGGTTAGGGGATAATCTAGGACAAACACATGAAACAAAATGTTTATAAAAACACGTTGGTTCGTATTTTAGTATGTCCCACACATGCAATTGAGAAGACGCGATATAAACCTACCCTCGTTTTGAGACACTTTTCGCCATCCTATGATGAAAAAGGACAAAGAAAAATGATGAAATTGTTGAAGTAAAAATATGGCTACTAACGTGATATCAGGCTACGATTTCACCTGCAATACTTACCCGTTATTTTGCTTCATCCGGCTCTATGAAGAAAAGAAACTCAAATAAATAATTGAATAGAATATATCCATACTTGCACATAGAAAACCACACCATACAACTATACGATTATGATACAATAACACACGATATGATGTACTATACTCTACCACACCATATATATATACTGTCCCATTACCACAACGTACTTCAACCATGCCTCACCATACTTCATATACCAATACCACAACATACTCTATGGCAAGACCACCTCATACTTCAACCATACTCTTTCGTCAAATTTGGTGATCATGCTCCACGCATTACAACACAATACAAAAATCTGACATATTTGAAAATGACTATGAAACATTTTGTTATTGTCGCGAAACTCTTGCGCAAACTCCTCGAAAATAATAACGAATAACGCGGGTGTTTTATCGCAAGACAATACAATCTTTTGCGATATCTGCCGTGATGCGCTGCTAAAGACTTTAATCGAAGAATTAATCGCAGAAGACGTTTTACACTCGTATTGCATGCAATGACTCGTGCATATCGTCACAGATCCCACCTCATATCGTGTTGTGAATTCTCCCACAGAGCATCATCATTGTTGGTTATTGTTAAACTGTGTATTTGTTTAAAACTGTCACTATGACGAACGCAAATCTTCAACAAAACGCTTATCAATAGCGTCAAACTATGCGCTGTAGTCTAGACGCGAGAACTAATAAAGACAGCTGATCTAAAGACAATACCTTTGATTAAAGCCATTCGCGACTTTTAATACCGTCAAGCAAGTATTGAGAACGCAGAGTTTACAACCCAAGCCATGCATCAAAGCTTCACACACACTTCAGGCGCATCAGAGACAAAGAACCAAGAAACCCTTAATCCTTAGTTTCTATTCACGACGAAGGAAATACGTGTTCTCTGTTTACGAAAGTCTCAAAATATGTCTAATCTGTCCGAATTGCCCACATTTCTGACTTGTGATAACGTATTGAATTACAAGAGCTGCATGCTTATGCTGTTGTGTCCGCAAAATCAGATAATAGGATAAACTTTAGGAAATAAAAAGCCCGCCACTGCATGGTCGTGATATGCTTCACAAACGTCCAGGATTCCCCCAACACGAGCAAGTGCGATTATTATTTTCAAAACCACCCCTAACAGCATCAGTTTGTTTACTTATTACTAGCTAACAACGCAAAGGTGACAAAAGGTTAAAAATTTCTATATTTAGAGAGCAGTTTCGACTTGGCAAGGTCCTCGGTGTGTCGGATTCAATCCAAAGTTTATAGCTGCCTCTATATATCATCTTGTGTGACAAAGTCTCTGGCAGGCAAAGCGTAAATAACCCTGGTTAAAAGCATTGAATATCCTGTGAAAGATGAATGCAAA